AATAAACAATACCGCCAAACTGACAATATTGGTAATGATGAGTTTTGAGTCAGCAACTTTGCCGCATGTTACAGTATATAATACGCAAGCTGATGATTTTAGTTAATTTTTCAATTCTGTCAGGGAGCGTTGAAACGACGCTGTGATCTATGAAAAAATTACGAATCTGACCTTAAAATTAGAAAAATGGTGAAGTTATCTCTTCGTTCTGCAAAATCGTCAGTTTGCAGATAGGCGATATCGTTTGTTAGCCATCGTTAGGTATCATTCTACGTCATAAATATTGGTTCAATCACCATTGAGCCTGTTTTCGCTACGCTTTCAATACGCGAGAAGGGCCGAATAACAACTTGCGTGCCGAAATAATCGTCCATTAAATAAAACACGCGCTGTTTCTTTACCGCTTCCTCACCGAGGCGCCGTCGTTTTTCATTTTGGAAATAAATTAACTTCAAACTCGTCCGCATTATATCGACTGGATTTGCTCCAATTATTACTTTTAAGAACCGTGAAAAACGAGTAGGTATTTGAGGGATTAAAATTCAACATGGATCCCGCAAACCTCGATTTGCCGTCCATTCCACCCTGTCACTCCGACAGGCCTTTCAAAGAAACGAAGAAAAAAAGGGTCCCGTAATCCCCTGGAGTGCAATTGCAAGTCAGTTTGGAGGCCTGTTTATGGATTTACCCGCCGCTACCCTGGCTCCCCTAATAATGAAAGTATCAAGGAGACATGGGATCTCCCGTTTAGGGCTTTTAACGTGACCTGGTCTTCTATTTCGGGCCAATTAAAGTGTTCATGTCCCCGCATCATCGTTTTAAAAGCTCTTTTATTTTGGGAATTTGAGTCATTATTTTGCTTAGGTTTATTCTTCGTGATAAAAAACTTGTTTTCGGGTAGTTTTGTGTTTGCGCAGGCTCTCCGATATTTATATTGAACTTACTTGTTAAAAATTTTATCAGACCTGGTTTGGACCGTGCAATCTCTAATTTTTACTTTGTACCTCTTCGTATTTATATCAAATTTACTAAATGTATGATTCTAGATACATACATACAGGAGTCGCTTTTATAGCGCTCTCTGGCGCTTTGCGATTATATAATTTTTTAATTCCTCTCCCGAAGTTTGCCAAAACTTTCAACGTTGAACGTATACAATTCAAAAAAAAAAGCGTGCGAGTAAAAATAAAAAGTGAAAAAACACAAGACTGGGAGCTCATTAATTACAAGAACTCTCTCTCTAAATTGTCATTGATGAAGGAAAAATAAGCAAAACCTGCTGACAAAGACATATTTTTTCAGACAAGAGCCAAAATTTCAAAGAATAATAGCATCCCGACATCAAATGTAGGCAAAGCTTAATTTTGAAATGCGATTTTCCGGCATTGATAACGCGTTAACCGGGTGACTTCCCATGACGCTGTAGGGTACCACAGAGGCTGCGGGGTGCAAATAACACGGACTGAATAAAAACAATTATCCAAAGAAGAAAAGAGAAGGTTGAGTAGAGGTATTCATTAAAGCTACCCGCTCCACTTAATGGCAAAGTTGCCAACCTTAATCGGGCATAACGCTTTTTTCTTGGATTTGGTGTCAGTTAAAAATACAGAGTTTGATTGTGCTCCTTTAGCTTCAAATTATCCTCCAAAGACCCGGAAATGTCACAATTTTTTTAGTGCTTCAGTCCTATGAGTCCACTTTAAATTTTCGCATTTTTACGTTTCACGCTTGGCTTTTTTTTTACTCCTCAACGAAGAAAAGAACAAGTAAGGGAATTGGAGGACAAGGCGCATAATTACAGTTTTTGCAATTTCAAGAAATACGTTTCTAAAGTCCCGAAATTACATGCGTCCTCGTGGCGAGAAAAAAGTCCAAACTTACTTTTTGATGTTTAAAAATTGGAATTTGGGAGCAAATTTTTCGAAAAATATGCGTTACGACTAGTATTACTGGAAATCATTCATATCTTAATTTTTTCAAAAGCTGCACGTATGCGCCTTGTCCACCCGAGCCCCTCAAATATATTGAGATCCGCGCTCGAATTTTTTCTGAAATGACCATGAAACGACTTTGCCACATTTTTCGTTCTTAGATCAGAGAAAGTAAGTGTATCAGCCCACATTTTAGGACGGCAACATTGTTATATATTTAAAAAATCAAAGCATTATTAGGAAATTTTACAATATCACGATGTAAATCAGTCGTAATTTACTTCATCGGCACTTCAGGTAATGCTAGAATCTAGTTACGGTGCAAAAAAAACAAGCCAAATGCCCTTAGTTAGTGTCGAATGCGACAATCACTCACTTCAACTCCTAGATGCAACTATTCGGGCTCCGTGGATGTCCATGTTGCATACGCACGGCAATGAAGGCGTTTCGACTGTCCACGCACCAACCGCATCACTCGCGGCGCGGCGTTTACGGCAGCTGCCGTAACGCCTAGGTTTTATCGCGAACATCCAAAATGGCAGAGCGGTTTCAATTCTTCGTTTATACTAAAAAGATATCTCCTAAGCACAAAAAGTTGCGTATGTAAATATATTTTGTGCTTCCGTTTGGATATCGCGATATGCTGAGCATAAGTTGTAGAGCACCTACTCATGCCATTTATAGCAGTCTCAGAGAGTGAATCGGTTGTTCCAAATGAGAATTACAAATTTCATAGAGAGAATTCCAGCTGACTAAAATGAGATATCAGTTTGTCAAAATGAGGAGTGCAACGTAGGAAACATTTTATTGACATTTTCCTTATCTAAAATATTTTTCCCCTGTCATTTAGTAAAGGTTTCCACGCTGTCAATTCCTCATCTAGAAATAGTGGTAGACGCGGCGACTTTTTGCTTCACTCTCAAGTCCCAACCTTTTGCGCAAACCAACCAAAATTAGAACACATTTTTCTCTCCAGAATGTATGACTCCTCTAACTGCAAACCGGTTGTTCCTAAAGCTCCACCGCAAACGGCACCACTAGCATACCGAGGAAAAACACCGCACACTCATTTGGAAGTTGCCAAATTTCCCCCGGCAAAACATTTATTTTCTAAGAAAATCGTGAATATCTTCCTCCTAAAATTTTCAGACACACTCAAGCAAATCGCGGATTGATTCCCCCCAAAAATCCTTCAAAAAAACTCTCAAGTCTCAAAAAATCCGTGTTTTATTAGAAAAAATTTGGCAACGCCCGAAGGCTCATACGGCGTTCTCCCGTAGTGCGGCGAACTACCCCAAAGCCCCAGGGGCGAGGGAACCACCGACGAGTTTTCTCACCGGCGGGGGGGGGGGGGGGGGTTGAAGCAGAAACAACGGGCGGGAGAGGGAGGACAACGCGAAGTTTAGGACACGGTTAGTTTGACGCTGCACCACCGCCACCACGCCGGGTTGTAAGTCGAAATGCACACGCGGAGAAACTCGTAAGCGTTGTGGGGTTCCTACGGTGCTTAAGTCTTTTTTCAAGTAAAGCGTTCGTGTATTTCCATGGACACGTAGACTGGGCGAAGGATTCAAACTGTCATCATTTTCCTTATGTGCGTTCGCCGGGGTCCCCGACGACGGAGCCGTCTACAATTGCTCGAAACGGAATGCCCCCCAAAAGCTGACGTGACCGCACTCCTTGATGAGCCCCGTGCCCGCCTCCTCGGGCCGACTATCTTTGACTTCCTCTAATTCGAAGATCGGAATCGATAATTCCGCTTAATACGGGACCTACATAGACCGTTTCAATCTTCGGCTCTTTTGTCTCCTTTCCTTAACCTCGGCTCTCCTGCCTCCCGACTGCATCCACCCTGACCTGGAAAATCTGTCTGTCTTTCTCTGCCTTCCTTTTTCCTGCTGTTCTTGGAAAAATTCATCTTTGTTGTTGCGATGTCCTGGTCAGAGTGCCTGTATAGGGAGAGTACGGATAGGTTGTTAATTTTGAGGTTGACTCTAGACCAATAGATCCCGGGTTCGAAGCCCCGTGGTGGCGACAAATTTTCACGGAACTGACGAGTGGATCTGCAGAGACAGATTCTACTCGGCCTGAATCCCTGAAAATTTGGAAGCCGGAGCATGGATGTGCCTATCGTCTTGTTGTCTAAGGTCATTAAAATCTTTGTCTACACTTGGCTGTAGACCTCTGAGAAGAGGTATAAGCCATTAAACCTGCAAAAAAAATTAAAATAAAAAATTGAGGTTAGATCATGGAGCTTTTAGGGCAGCCAACCTACACGATAGGAAAGATCAACAAGAACTTTGAGTTGGTTTGTGTTTCACCTCCTATATTAACCAACTGTAACACAAAAACACAATTATTTTTTCAGTGTATGAATTAAAACTATCCAGATTGATTTATTATTGAAACTGTGAGGACACGTCGTTTGTAAAGAACGTATTTGACTTAGTTTATGCAAAATTTCACTCTTAAATTTAAAATCAGCAAATGCTCGAGGATGTCCTTTTTGTTTCCTGTATCCACCCGACCGGTCACTGTCTCCATCTCTCTTTATCTCTTTCTGTGTATGGTATATTCTTCAGTGTTGTGCTTTACCTCGTGCTTCACCTTTCACCTATATTTTTGGCTGATTTTGGCTAGTAAAGTTATTGTACTAGATAGGGATATTGTTCGAGTCAGGCAAAAATGTGCTCGACTTACCAAAATACTTCTAGTTGGTGCTATCATACTTTTTACGGGCGCTAAAATCAGCCAGGAACATGAATGAAATCATCAATTTTTTCCATGAAGAGTAAGAGAAAATGTGCATTGATTCTTGCTGATAACTTTACCGACCAATAGCGCAAGAAGCGCTTTTTCGCTTAGCCAGCAGCTGATAAAAAAATCGTCAACATTCTCATTATCTATAGCAGTGCCTTAGCATTCATACATATTTGGATACATCTGTTATCTTATGGTCATAGAGTTACTGCTACATTAAATGTAGAGAAATTAGATAATTAACTGTGTGCGAACTTTAGAATAATTTACTGATTCAACTCTGACAGCTTTTTGCATTGGATTTTATAGTTTCAGACGATTCCTCATTACCAAGATTTGCTGAGCCTGTACTGAACGTCACTGTCATCCAAGGGAAAGATGCATTGATGGCGTGCGTTGTAGAAAACCTTCAAAAGTACAAGGTGCGCTTAATATTACTTAAAATAAATCCACTAACGTACTACGTATGGAAACGTTAGAAAAAGAAACTTTTAAATCAAATGAATTGAACGCGAAAGAGGATATTGTGCTCATCTTTGAAACTCACAATCTTCATACATGAGATTGAAGATCACTACTGAGAATTGATAGCAGGCATGCATGCATGCAGTTGTACAGTGCATTGCATGTGTGTTGTGCGTTGCATTTTCGGGGGAAAAATGAGTTTTGAGTAGATTTCAATTCAATTTGCCTCAAAATTGCTTTTATAAGGACTTTAAAGTCGATTGAAAATTTTTTCAACGTTAATATAGTCGTTCAAAGAAGTTCTCTGACCCCCTACATTTTCATTATTCTTGACGTGATAACAACATTTTCCTCGCTTTGAAAAGCACAGCCAAGTACTAAGTTTTTGGATTTTTTTAAAATGTTTAATTGTTTTCATCCAACTGAAAAAGGCTGAGCTGTTAGCAGAAATGTTCTGGTGGTATTTATGTTAAAATTAGCCTTATTACCCGCTGTTTTAATTTTTATAATTGTATTTTCATTATTCATCACTGTTCGTTCGGCCGTTCTACTGGGACGATTTTTATTACTTTTGCGGCTATTGACAGGTGATAGTCTATAAATGAGCCCGCTTGGTGCTCTATCCTGATTTTTTTCTCATCGTGTAAAAAAATTGTGCATTTTCCCATGTAAACTATATAAATGTTCATTTTTTGTCACAGTTTGTTATGCAGATCTACCGTGTCAATTTTAATGATGATTTGGTTATCGTTAAGAGACGGCCCTTAGTTGAGCCCGCTCTGTTTAGATTAATCAATACAGACTGGCTAGGGGGCGTAACCCCTAGTTAAATCTTACAACTTCAGCGGGCCGATTGTTGAAATTGATAGACAAAGCTATAGACAAATAAGAAACAAGGGGTATGAAGGGGGGAGGGGGGTTTCCTGTTGGAGCAAGCATGTCGTTACAATGAGAGAAGGAGATACGTATAATAGACTATATCTTACGGCAACCCACGAGAGACCCTAAACTTAGTCAATCATTTTCTCCCCTAGTCTATAAAAACAACCCACTTCAACCAGTAGGATGGCCCCATGTTCCCTATGTCTACTTTGTCTATCGCTTTGTCTGTCAATTTCAATAATCAGCCCACTGACCTATTTTTCTCGGTTCCAGCTCGATGCGACTGATGCGTTTCCGTAAAACTCGATCCATTCGTCGTAGGTGAAGTGGAGTCCCATATTTTCCGAGCTCCCGATATTGTTTTCTCGCGGGCAGCGATATTTACTTTGTCCCGGGAATAAATTTTATCAGTGCCCGAAGATGAGGAGCGGGGGCCTTTTCTCGGGCGATTTGACCCTTTAACACGATCAAAGGCGGCGTGCCGTGAATTTGTAAGACATTGCTCCCGATACGTGCCCGGGTTTTATTTGTCCTCGGCCGATGCCGTCCCATGCGACGGAAAGAGATTTACCTTATCCATGACACCCGCCCTCGCGACGGCCTAAATACTCACGCCTGACGGGCTGAATGCAAACTTAATTTCTCCGACGCCACACAGTGGATCCAGTTAAAGGGAGAGGTCGGACAAAATTTGGAACTTTTAAAAGCTTATAACTCCGTTCATACAAAACTTTGAGGTTTTAAAAGTAGTTCCATTGGTTCCTCGTGGAATTTTCTTCTGGAAGTGCCCTTTAAAATTTAAAATTTGACAAATTGAATGTCAAAATTTTGCAGTTTTAATTCAAAATTTTATGTTCGAACCTCTCTGATTGACTCGATCCACTGTGCGGCAGGGCTCAACGTTATCAAAGTCTCGAAAAAACTTGGAGCATGTAGGATCAACAGGACACAGTGGGGGTTTTTTTTTAAGCATAATGGCAGATAATGGCAACGGTATATGGTGATATTCAAGCCGCATCCAAAAAGATGTATAGAAATTGGTGAATGACAGGGTAAAAAAACATATTGGGGGTAATCACCTAAAATTGTGGTACTATCCTGATTTTTTGAATGATATAGACTTTTATGATTAATCGTGATAGTTTCGCAACTAAGTTTGGGTAGTACTGCAACATTTGGTTTAGTGACCTAATTAATTGGGGTACTACCACAAATAATTGTGAAATGTTCATATTATCCTACAACCCCTCCCTATCTTTTCCGTGGATGAATACTGTTAGAGCCTTCTCTGATGGCCTGGCCTGTATTTTGCTGACTTTTTCATATTTTCAAAGTATTAGTCCTAGGCAGACTCCATGCCAAATATTTCACCACACGCGGAGCCCGTACAAAGGCGCAGAGGCGCCTCAAATTCAAAATTCTGTCGTAGACTTTTCCAACTGTTGTCACTCTTTCAAAAGGTGATTCTTGTGTTTTTTTCGTTTTTCCCCGTTTATGGCGTTTCCAAACGCCTAGCTAAGACCGTGCCGTTTATTGGAAAGAAGGAATGAATAAAAATTGTGACTTTCTCTTACGTTGCTAAATTTTTGGGAAAAATCATCTCTTACCGCTACTCCTCCTTTCATGTAATGTAACACATCACATCTTAAATATTTTATCACCTCTTTGTTTTTGTAGGTGGCGTGGGTTAAAGTTAAAACGCAAACCATTCTATCAATCCATCATGATGTTATCACACAAAACGAACGAATACACATATCATATAACGACCATCGCTCATGGTACCTGCACATTCGAAACGTCAACGAGGCTGACAGAGGATGGTACATGTGCCAGATAAACACAACACCAATGCTTAATCAAAAAGGATTTCTTCAAGTTGTTGGTAAGTGAAGGTGCCGAGATACCTTTGAGTACGCATAGTCATTCCCTGAACAGCTCCTTTCCTTAGAGGATCTCATGTGGTTTAGATTGTGATCACGGAAACTTTAGGCTTGCTGCATGCGGGATGTTGTGTGGCCTACCTCAAAAATTGAAGGCGAAATAAGAACATTTGTAATTTACTACTTTCTTTTCGTTTATTCTATTCTAACTAAATTTTTAGTTGGAAAACAACACGGTTTTGATTGCCTTATTTTGATCTAAAACGCCACATAAGATTATTAACGGGACTTTAGGCCGTATTCCTAGTTGTTCCTCAAAGAGTTGCAAACCTATCTTAAACTTCAAGTTAGGTTTGCACCTACTTTACATTTTGTGAAAATTAAAGAATTTTCTATAATTTGTGCTTGTGGCAATGGCAAATCATCACAATCCCCCGCAAAGCCCCATTTCTAGAGTCATCCAACTGAATTTTACTTCAGCTTTGCAAAAATCGTCTTTTTTATGATGATATGCGTCAAGGATCTCCATATATTACCTTTGATCACAATGTAAACCATGTGTGGCCTCCTAAAAGAAAAGTTGATTGAGGATCTACTAAGACTACGACCTGTAATCTAGTTAATAACACGTGGAGTATTAGGAGAAAAGAAGACAATTAAGACAGTAGTTTTGTCAAACTTAACATTTAGGAAGAATAGAATAAACGAAAAGAGAGTACGTAAGTTATCACTTCCCTATTTAGCCTTCGATATATTTTTGAGGTGGGCCACATAGCATCCCACGTGCAGCATTAGTTATCCATCCGATGATCTGCATCGTGTGTTGCCTCTAAATCTTGTCCCTCAGTGAATATGTCCAACTGTAACTGGATTACTTGGAAGTCTCTCTGTTACTCTATTTAAGTTACTACATTCGCAAGGAAATAACATGAAAATAATTGATCCCCATTTTTTGTGGAAGCAAGGCTTCTCAAATGTGCATACATAAAACGTCGCTTCTACATGAGCAACTAGAACAAGTAGGTAAGTTTTAATCTCAATTGGAAGATCAGAATTGGAGTGTTATAGCGATTTTGGCACAAGAATAGGCAGGGGAAAATTAAAATAGGACAAACTTATAAACAATGTGGGAGTATCGGATGAATTATACTCGATTATGAGAAAATTAGGTTGGAAGCCTTACCCCAACCAAAATTATTCGCCATTTCTGATTCCTTAAGATATTTTTCCCCCCAATTACGGAAAATTATAAAGAAATGTTGCACACACAAAAATAAAAGGTCTTTATCATTTTATTTTCTTCCTGCGAATTTACTGATCTTCGACTTCACGTATTTCATTAAAAATATAATGAAATTTGACCTGCCCCCTGTTTTTCTTGTACTTTTCATTTACAATATTAGACTTAGCATACCGCAACGTCTAATTGGAAAATAAAAAATTTCTTCCGGTACCGGGAATCGAACCCGAGCCTCCTGGGTGAAAGCCAGGTATCCTAGCCACTAGACCATACCGGATTGAGCGTAAGTGATGAAACTCCAACACTGATGCCTAAAATATTTCAGTGGTCCTCAAAGCACATCAGCAATAATATTTATAGATATTATCAGAAAAAGAGAGCGCACGTCGCGTCATGTCAAGTTGCCAAGTTCAAACCTCGATGCATCACGGGGCCTATTACTGCAAACTTGCAAGAATCACTCTTTCCAGCCAGAGAATTTAAATTGGTGTTATATTGATTCATTCTCTTAGGGTCAAATGAAAACGACCCTTGTACAGGGGAACGGGAAACACGGAGGGGGGATCATAATTTGGGTCCCCTCATAATTGGCTGTTCAACATTAATATAGACATAATTTTCTTCGGATTATTTTTCAAGTTTCCCCACGGATCATAGCTGAGGAATCCAGTGCAGGAGACATCATCACGAGAGAAAAAACAGACGTGATACTGAAATGCCGTGCTGGAGGCTACCCGGAGCCTTACATAATGTGGAGGCGAGAAGACGGTAAAGACATCAATTACAACGGTGTCATGGGTAAGTTATCCGTTTTTCAGCCGAATGAAGGAAAACGAAAGCTTGCTATCGAATAATTTGAAGGCTAGTTTTTATTTCTTATATCATGCCTCACACTCTAGATCGCTTATCTCGCAAGAAAGAAAATATTCGCCACATTTGGATTGCATTTTGCAAAAAAAAAAAAAAAAAAAAAAAAAAAAAAAAAAAAACAAGAGCATTTCGATGTTGCTAGGATTGTGTAATTGAATATGATATAGGACGGTTTTGGAAAAATTGAGATACTTATTCAAAATTTTTAGTAGAGCTAAAAATTATTAGCCACTAATTATAGCCACTATTACATGGAATTAAATTGAAAGTCATGCAGCTTTCAGGTTTATAACAATACTCTCAACACGTTGTAAACAATTTCACCAATCGTTAACACTCGAGAGCCGAAACACAATTTTTTCAGGTGATATTTAAGGAGCTGTGTGATTTACAACTTCAACTTCATCTTCTGGAGACCGTAAGCAATATTTTTAACATGCGTTTAATGCATTTGACTAACATAAGTACATAAATGACACATAAGATGACATAAAGTAAAATGCATCGAAAACAGTTCCAGACTAGCACACATTACACCGGCCAGAAACGGGTCCATAATTGTATTTTTGTTTGCAGTGAATGTTGTCGATGGAGAAGATCTGCATCTAATTAAAGTTTCGAGATTACACATGGGTGTGTATTTATGTATAGCAGCCAATGGTGTTCCGCCTCCGGTGAATAGGAGAGTTTCTTTAACAGTTCATTGTAAGTTTGATTCCTTTTTCTGCTAATTCGATCTCTATAAAATTGGAAGTATCTTCGACGGCAGCTCTACATGCTAAGGAGGAACGTCGTATGAGCCTTCGGATCTTATGAAATTTTCTTTGCGAGTGTACACATTTCATGGAGATCTTCCATACGTTCCAAATTTTTCAGTGACTTTTACCGTTTTTTGCTCAAATCGATGTCTTGTCATCAATATTCTACCAAAATCCAGGGCTAAATGTAATGCAAACTCCTGAATTCGAAATCGAAAATCCAATTGACTGATTCATTTTTTGTTGAAATAATTTCCATAAAAATCCCCTGGCCAAAAAACCAAACATTATTTGAAATATATATAGCTCATGAGACTATTGTGTAAGCAAATATCATATCTAGAATGCATGCGATGTTTTGCAATGAGTTATCTTCGTGAATCACTGATTTTTTTAAAGTGTGCTTTTACAGGTGGATAAGGTGATTCATTTATGATTTTTTCTTGATTCTGATTTGTTTCAGTTCCTCCTATGTTAACGATTCCTTACCAGCTTGAGGCTGCTTACCTAGGTAAAACTGTGACACTTGAGTGCCTAACTGAAGCCTTCCCTCCGTCTCTAAACTACTGGACAACCGAGAGGGGTGATATGATTTTATCGGGTATTAATATTTTATTATGATTTTCGGAAATTTAAATTACCCTAAATCAAACAGCCATTCACCGGCCAGTCTGTAAGGTGCATGTTGAAAAAAAATTGCATCTATTTCTAGTGTAGGGTCGTAGTTATTTAAAAAAGTCTCAAAGTCGGCACACTGAAAGAAGGAATCTTAAATTTGCCGCCTAGAAGTGTTTTTTCTTAAATAAAGAATTTTGCTGCTTAATATAAACTATTTTTTTGCTTAACCCGAGCATTTTTTTCTTGTATCAAGAAAAATTCAGCCTAAATCAAGATAAAAAAAATATTGGCGGCAAATTCAAGAGAAATCATGCTTGAGCCAATCACATTTTTTTCAGTACAGAGGAAGTATATTTTTATGAATGAACACCTCGAAAAAAATGTTTATGAAATAAATTGAAAAATTGCTCCTACCCAACAAAAGAAACCCGGGCAATATTCCAGGAAGATTTTCTCTGTAATCCGTCCATACAAAAATAAACAAATCTTGGAAGTTTTGAGACGTTTACATGGAATAACACCTTTGTGGAGAAAATCAACTCATTCCGCCGAATGAGCCATCATTCATTTGCCTCTTCCGTCGAAACAAGGGATGTACACAAGAAAATTTCTAATTTTCTAACTTCTATGCTGAACATTGGTGGATCAACTGCATATCTTAGAGCAGCATGTCTCAATCTAATTGAACCCTTCAGATTGCCACCGGGCAGGATCTTTTGTACTGAGACCCAAATTCTACCGCTAGTTTGGACACAGAGGAATGCATGTCTCGAAAATTGCAACAGATGACATTTCTTCTGCCGTGATAGCGAAGAGAGCCGTAAGTGCAAAAATGAAGTTTTGAGAAAACGGGCTCAGAAGCTTCTGACAAGAACATTTTATTGAAAGAAGCCTCCGTTCTTTGTCAAATTGCCACTAATCGTCCGTAAGACTCCTAGAAATCGTATGGATGATTAAAAATCGACTGATTTTATTCTCATTACATATAAAGGGTATTTTTCATTTTCATACCAGGTTATTGTTAGGCAAGACAGCCTTACGTGGTTGCGTTTTGGACACACAACTAACACATTTTCAGGTTAGAAATTGGCAGAAGAGGGCGGCACTTTACTGGAAAGCACTGTTCTCATTGGCTCTCATGCATCTACGGCTGTCTTGAAAAAAAAACTGTGTCATTTTTTGTGCTTTTACGGCTTTTACATACGTCTCGTTTTCATTAAATTAGGATGAATTTTGCTGTTTCAGCTGTCTCGGTAATACCATCTAAAAGAGTTTAGACGAATTTTGAAGAAAACTCGATTTCGAAAATTTTGCACTTACGGCTCTCTTCGCTATCACGGCAGTCTTGTGGTATCATTGCATACCATATATTCTTTTTTGCCTGAAAAAATCTAATCTGAAAAAACAATCGTAGCGGCAACTCATAGGTAACTAGTGTCATATTAATAGGTCAGTGAATAACGCCATAAAAAGGAGCCGCCATAAAAATTCATTTTGAGAATTGTGTACATTCTTCATAACCAATTCACATATTTGATACTTACTTTTTTCATCGATACTGATAAAAACCAGTTTACTCCATTTCTGAGCTTCTTGTGTCTTTTCCTTTCGCTTATAACAGGTGATGGGTTTGAGGATAACAGAACGCAAACTGAGTACGCATGTCACATGAAGCTCACAATCCTCCATGTCACGGCTGCTCACTATGGAAACTATAGATGTGTTGCCGTAAACGCCCTTGGCGAAACCGATGGAGTTATCAAGCTATATGGTTAGATTTTTTCATCCAGTACTCGTATATAAAAAAGTCAACCTTAAACGGTGACAAAGTAACTTTAAAAATAGAGGTCAGTAAAAAAGACCTTTATTTAAAGACAGAAGGAGCCTCGGACCAATAGAAGTGCTATGTGCCAAAAAAATCTATAGCAACGCGCTCCTCAGAATAGGACGTGATGGTTTTAAAAGAGTAACATAATGAAGCCGCCTTCATTTAAGAAGGTAGGCAGAAACAGAACACTTCGCGCGCCGCTTCGCTAACGGTGCGTACAAATTCTCTCTGGCGGACTCAGACTCCAGACCACCGCATGTTTCCAAACAGCAGGCTGATTATTGAAATTGATTGACAAAGAAGGCATCGGAAATATGGAGCGATATGTCCTATTGGTTGAAATGGATGGTTCCTTTAGACTAAGGGAGAAAATAATGGATTGACTATATTGGGTCTCTCGTGGGTTGCCGTTAGTTAGTCTATTACCTACCTCCTTTGTCAATTGCAACCACCCGTTTTTACAATGGGATCCCTCCATATACATTTTTACTTCTTTGTCTAAAGCTTTGTCTATCAATTTCAATCATCGGCCGGCCCGCTGAGCAGTAACTCCCAAATTGTCATTTCTTTCAGATTTTAACCAATATCTTATTTAAATAAACTGATGTGACTAAAACAGCAAAATCTGCATGTTCCTAAAAAAAAACACGAGTTTTGAAAGATAAGTAAGTGCGAGCAAATTTACGTCATTTCAGATCATTCAGTAAACCATAATTATCCAACGGTAGAACTTTTCAATTTTCTTTAATTTATGTCTCTCCCTGAAGAGAGCGGAGAGAAGGACATGTCTCTCCTGGACTTGCCACCAGTTTAATAGAACAATTGGAATTTAGTGATAATCACTTACATTCTGTGCTCTTCTAAACTGGTAAGTAAGTCAAAAATGGACCACGTCAGCAAAAATGAACCAGGCCATATCACCTTTTTCCAAAAAATTGGACAATTTAATGTTTTACATGGAAACGGTTTCATGGATTTTTGTGAAAATTTCAGAAAGTTTTCTGCATCGAACGAATCAGATTCCTTAAAATTCTCAAAGAAATCCACACGAACTTTCTCTTGTATAAAAACAAATTCCCCACTTAAAATCAGGAACAGCTGATGTGGCTAGGTTCCTTCCTGCTATGATCGGTCCAAAAAATGTTAACGTGTATTTCACACAGAATTTGAAAATCCCGATTGGCTTAATCTAGTGGATGGGTTACAAGGCGGTGATTTACTCTCATGAATTATTATCATTAACACAAACTCATTATTACCACAAACATTGTTTTTCAGAGCAATACCGTTTCATGCTCAGTTACATCAAGATTTTGTGGCATCGCAAAAGAACTATACATATCACGAAACTAAAAGTTTTTACTTGACTTTTTGTTTTACTACGTAAGGGTTAGGTCCAGGGTTAGGGTTTAGGGGGGGTAGGGTTAGGGTTAGGCTTTCTTCTTATATCGACGCCAGCAACCAACAAGGGAGGGAGGGAGAGGTGTCTTCCTAACTAGCGGCGTTTTGTTTTATGAATACTTTATCGACTTATGTCTTCAATGGAGTGATAAAATATTATGACTCAAATACTAATAAGCATGATTTTTGTTCTCGGTTTAAAACCATCCATTGTGAATCAGAGCTCCGAAATACGCGATTGTGATTATCTTGGAGAATAAAACGTGATCAGAGGAACTTATTGACGTTAACATTTAAGTAGTCATTGTTTTCATTCAATGCTAAAATAATTTCACCGGGTCAACGTAATATAGGCACTGCCGAAGTATTTTTTGAATCCAGTAGACATTCGTGCAAATTAGCATTGATTCGTTTCAAGATCCACTCGAAAACTGAATGGAAAAAAAAATTGATTCATTCCAACCTCTTTTGAGTTTTAGCTTCCTTTTCTCTGCAACCATGAATCTATTTGGAGAGGAATAAGCTCAGTAATAGGCATTCGTTTCCTTGGAATTATTATTAACATAGCATTCCATGTGATTATGCATCATAGGTATCATTTTAACTTTCTCTTGCTATACTTAAAGTTTTTAACAAAAAAAAATCAAAACAGGATATTAGCAATGACTTTGGAAATAAGTCTCATACTCTAAGTAGATTTTTCAATCCTCTTTATTTGCTCTCTTGCAGAAATAGATTCTCCAAAAGAGGCTGTGGCCGTATTCACAATGGATGAACATCACGATAGTCATAAAAATGGTAAGTTTTGTGTCTCCCATTTATCTGAGTTAGAATGCTTGGGGAAGAAACTTTTTTTAAAAGAGTGAAAGAAAATCTTTTTTAGACTGAATAAAAAAATTCCTTACATGTGAAACTAATGAAAATGAATGCCTCTAGAACGCCATTGTGTTTTCAACAAGGTCGGTGTTAAAAGTAAAGTTCCATGATAAAATTTTCATATTTTTTTTTTTTTATCTGAGCATTGTTTTAATCCATGGCATGTATGTGGACACAATAATTTAAATCGTTAAAAATACTTACCTAAAAAATGAAATCAATACGTGTAACTGAAAAAGGATTAAATTCAAATTCAATTTTTTTTTTCAAAATCGCGTAAAATTTTTGAAAACATCACTTGAGTTTACCTGTCAACTCTAATTCGGTTTCATATTTTCTTTTTCCAGATAAATACCGTTCTACCACAAATAATAGAATATCCGATAGCTTCAATTATGAAGATTATTACCTGTGGCAATCTCAAGGTTCGTTGGTTGAATTCTGTATCCTCTGACACGAAAAAGATACATGAAAAAAGCACGATGTTACGATAAAATTAAATTACCATACTCAGGCGAACATGACAGAAGTATAGTGCGGTAAAATTATGGACCATTCAATCGCCGGATATTTTATGAAATACTCTCATTGGAATCGTCACTCGACGATTCAACTTAAATCTGCGCTTAGATTGTTAAATTGATATCGAATTAACTTGATTGGTAAAACCCGATCTTGGCAATGCTATGTATCGATTAAATTCATTCGATAACGATTATCAATCGTTTCGATAACAATCCAAGCCCAGTACGGATTAAACCAGAATCTGCCTAACTGCATTTCACGTTCCCTAACTTCTTCTCTTTGGTGGTAATTTTGCAAATTGGCAAAACTGTTTTTCCTATTTTTAAATTTATACAAAAAAATCGATTCGTGGCTAGGCACTAGGTAGCTTGCTTCATACATAAAATTGATAGTTTTGCTGGTTTAAATGGAGAAAAAATAGTGCTGCTAACTTACAAAATCGCCACTACTTCTCATGTTATAACTATTTGGAAGAAAAATAGACAATATACATCGCTGAAACTTACACTGAATCTCCGCTGGATGATGAGGAATACAACAACAAAATGTTAAGTTTTTATGTTGCCTGACTCTTTGTTAAAAATATGATAGGTAACTGAAAATGAATTAAGCAGCGTATGATGTAAGAAGATTGACTCTTCTTACATTCATTTAAGCGTTCAGTGACTCTGGATAAGGTATTTTGTTAGTAGTCTGCCCCGTCAATTTTTTACGCTTTACCAACATTGAGTCACCAAAGAAAGCAATCAGATATGGGCTGATTAGGGAAAGTATGTTGATAAATTTTCAAGAATTCATATTCAACCCACCTTGTGTGACTGATAAGCGGGTAATAATATGTTCGTGGAGCGTGCTCCTTTTCCCATCCCTGGCTCGGGCGACGGTAAAGTCGCCGCAAAACTATATGACTTTGCGCAATTAATTATTCTTGACTCTGCTCGGTTTTAATGATAATGAAAGGGCATTTATTACAACAATTCAGACACTCGGACGATGTTAAATTTTTCACTGATTTAAAAAAAAAAAAAAAAAAAAAAAAAAAAAAAAAAAAGGATTAAAACGAACTAAAGTATTCATCAAAACCAAAAATTATTTCATTCTAAAAGCAAAGTATACCTCATATCGTAATTTTTGAGGGGAAAAATAAAACTAACACTGATAGGAGGTAAAAAAAGGGCCGCGAAGCGGCCCATTGATGGCGCGGGGCGCCTTCAGGGGGTTGGACCGCGTAGCGGTCAGGGGGCATAGCACCCTATATAGTATTTGACTATTTGCCTAGGCATTTGACAAAATGCCTAATTTTACTATTTGCCTGCGACATATCGATTGCAGTGTTTGAAAATTTCTTTCCTCCCCCCCCCTCCCCTTGGCACTAAGTTTTACGAAAATCCGACGAGCAGGAACCGATACCTATAGCGTTTTAGGCCACGCTCGCCACCTTGGTTTTTCGAACTTTCGAAATTAGACTAAAATTTCAAATTTAATCGATGGAATGGGAGCCGATGTATCAATTTAGGCTACGTCCGCCATCTTAAATTTTCAAATTCAGAAAATTCAACTTGAATCGCATCATACCCAAAATCTAAGCTCAGATTCGGCTTCCTCGTGAAAAATCGATGCTATTTCATATACCGTATGTTACCATAGCATAAAGAAAAGAGGGTAATCGTAGGCGTAAAGATTCTATCGAAGCCGGCCGGTATGCGGAAGTAGGCACAGAATTCAAACGTTTGAGCTACGCCGCGCCGCCAGACGCCGGCGTCAAGCATTTGGTTCGTCCGTTTCCGAGAAAACAAACTTCTTCTTACTCATCAGCTGACCCACTCCGAATCACCCATGTTGCCACGTCAGACTGATATGTTAGAATCTACACGCCTACGTTAATCTCTTTCCTTCATGATATGGTGACATATGATACATGAAATTGCATCGATTTTTCACGAGGAAGCCGAATCTGAGCTTAGATTTCGGATATTATGCGTTTTAAGTCAAATTTTCTTTTATCTATTTTAAATCACTCAGGAAAATTTGCGGAAACTCATTAGAATAACAGTGTGTATTCTTTTAAAAACATTGATAAAAAATAAAACATTGACGGTATTTGAATCCATCAATCTCTGAGATAACTTAAACACGGTTGTTCTACCACTTTTTACGTATGTTGTTTTCTTCCGCATTGGTTGTCGGCAGCGTAGCGGCCAAAGGCCGCTGGTACTAATAATAGTTTTCAAAATCAATGTTTTTCTACATTCAAAATTCCAAGGAAATGGCAGAAATTTATCAATTGTTACTAATGTTTTAACAATGTTTCTTGTCAATTGTATGCTGTCGTTAAGCTAAATATCCCAGGTTTACCAGTAGGCTAGGCATGCACTATATTTAACACCATGTCAAGGCTTCAGTACTTCAGAGGGGTATTTTTTTTATTTTCTATTCTACGTAATCTCACTTGTTCAAGTAAGTAGCCTGGGCTTATTTGTCCAATGCTAGAAGCACTTTAGCCAATCATAAAAATAATCCTGGTTTGCAAATTTTGAATTGATTCTCGACATGAAAAGAGAAAAAGAAAAAATAGATAAATAAAATGCAGTTATAAATAACAACGAAGAGATATTTAATGAAGTATAAGAATTAAAATGAAGTGACTGAATTAAAGTAAAAAAATTTAAAAAATGCAAGAAATAAAATAAAGTAAGTAACGGTAGAATACAGGGAAGAAATAAAGAATAAATAATCAAAGAAAAATAATATTAAGTAAAGAAATAACAATAAAGTAAAACATTAAAATTAAGTAAAGAAACAAAGGAAAAAAAATTAAAATTACGTAAATATATAAAAAAGAAAAAATCAAAGAAAAATTATATTACGTAAAGAAGAAAAATAATGTAAAAAATTTACAATGAAGTAACGAAATAAAATAAAGTAAAAAACTGAAATCACGTTAAAAAATAAAATGAAATACAAAAATTAGAAAAATGAATGAACCAATCTAAGTATGTAGATTGAATATCCTGGTTTTCCGTTCAAATCGAAACTATGTACAGGTTTTTCGGTCTAGATTCTTATCACACTGTATAGCTCAATCGTTAGGGTCTTCGGCTAGGGTTGATAGGTCCCAGGTTCAATCCCCGCGGTAGGCAAAAAAAATTGATAGGTCGGATACGACTACAGCACCTCACAACAAGTACTGTAGTCCCATTTTACTCGATTTCGAAATTTATCTACGCGATTAACCCTTTTCCACCATCCCCTAGCTGCGACCCCCGACATTGCACACCTTTGTATTCAATTTTTTTAGCTGAACGTTTCACAAGAAAATACTCCTCTTTATGGCTAAAAACACAAAATATTAGGTTTTCCTTGCTTTCATGATTGATACACTAAACATACGGATGGGTCAGTTTACCATCTTTGAAGGTCTATCTCAGCAACGTTGTGCGGGACGTCTACGGAGGACGGCGCGCCCTCCCAGCAGTGTTGGTGTGAATTACCATCTTTGTTGTCAACGCCTACCTGATCGCGGTTTGAGGTTTCTAACCATCATACATTTTTGCTCTTGGCAAAATTGTTCTCAGGGGTCGAATCTGGGAATCCAAGATAATAAATGTCACTTCTATCTGGCTATAAGAACCAAAGATTTTTTTTCCGTGGCGCCTCGGTTTATCAATTCAGACTTATTGTTAGACAGATTTAGCAGAAATGAGCCGAATCACGTCAAATTACACCACGCATCAAGAAATGCCTATCTAATTTTCACGTTCAATCCTTTAAAGAGACAATAAATCAACATTCTGACTCAAAATCCATAGTTTAAAGACGGATGTTGTTTAGTTTACCGATAAAACAGGAAACAAATTGGGCCACGTACCCCTTTAAGTTCTTGCGCACCACGTAGGCCGTATTTTTATCTTAACAGTTGAAGATACACCAAAACGGACGAAATTTTTGTCCTACCTACGGCATATAACCGATAACCCGTCAATTTCAAGCAAGAATGCTTTTTCAAATATTTCAAAAATCACATATTGTACTTTCGCTCTTTAGGTCCGATTTACTTACGGAAGATCGAATTTTTTTTTTGCAAAATTCAAAATAAGCGTTTCCGATTTGTATTCAGAACGAGGATGGATTCTCATAAGTCCAAACTCAATCGAACATTATTCCCCAAAAAATGATTCTATGTATTATACATTGCGTCTTCTCCAGTTTGTCTCATTTTTCTCTCATTTAATTTACAGGTGGTAAAAATCAAAGCAAATCAAAGGAGGACTCCAAAAAAGCAAATGGAGCTGCGTGTACGGTTCCACACTTTTGTTACCTCCCGCTACTCTATTCAATACTCCGATTTGTATTTAGCTATGTTTTCACTATAAAATAAATATTTTTGTAAAATGGTCTGTTTGTTTTCAATTAAAAGATGACCGAAATGAACACTATCCGAAATTACACCTGGAAATTGTGTTTCCATCATGGTTCATATACTCATTGATCTTACATAAATTATCACTTTTACGTGGATGCCCTAATAATGATGCATAAAATAAAGTTACCGTTGTTGATCAGTGAATTTCCCAATTTATATTTCTAAGGGCTCTTGTAAATCCACGATTTATACTAAGTCTCGAAGTTTTGAAAATCTCACCTGTTCCTCCCCTTTCTATTCTCATGGAAGTAATCATGGTAGAAACTTGCGATAGAGTGGGACAGAGTATAGTGTCTTGTTTTCTCATTTTTCATTCCGTTTTTTTACATCGTCGAAATATGTATGATGCAACAATATACGGAAAAAATTGCAAGATTGGTAAGAGTGTTTTGTGAAAGAAGCAGTGAGACGAAATGAGTAAGAACAGCACTTTGAATGTATTAAATGTTCCCTTAAATTTCCTGTTTTTATATTTTTAATTTTTTCTCTTCGGACATTTTCAAATTAATATGTTTCTCTGTGGGAAAATAATCAAGTAATGAAACGGTTGTGGTTAACTGAGCAAAAATATAAAAATAAGAAAATAATGATAATAATGATTTTTTTGGCTTTTTGTCACGTCTAATAGCAAGCGTTCAGCACTATCGCACGGTTAAAGAGCGTTTGCGTGTTTTAATTAAGTTAAAAGCACGTATTGATACGCATGCACCTAGCGCCCTCAGAGGGTAAAAAGGGGGAGCTCTGTGAAGACTCAGTTTCTTGAGCACGCCTGTAGAGCGAGCCTGAATATCGTTTCGGGTCGGCATTGCATTGGTGGTATCCAAGCAACTCAGAACGCCTTCAATATAAGATGATACAACTTATCGAACACGCTTGTTGCCATCTTGCAGACTTGATGAAATGAAGGTTTTTTGTGAGCCCTTACTTATTTGAAGCAGTGCGTTCAGCCTTAGCTCCAATAGCCTCACCGGCACTGTTAAGTTTTGTTCTATGTTGATGAACATTTTAAAGGTTAAAACATTTATTTTTCTTCCTTCCAATTTTGAATGAATAATAAGTGTATATCTTTCATTAAATTATTTTTAGTTGGACAAGTAAATGGAGTAGCACATTTGGACTAAATTCTTTCAATACTACTTTTTCTGGCTCATTTTATAAATAACTTATGTGCTATTGTTTCCTCGAAATAGGATATATGAGCCCGAAATAGGAGTCTCTTATTGCAAAAAGTAGTCCATTTGAAGTTGCACATTTAATAACTTAGAAATATTTAATTCCGCTCCCAAATAGAATTGCATGTAATTGTGTGGGGTTGAATAGATTTTGAAGATAAAATGAGAAAAATTTGCATTATCTGTTTGGATATTTTATACGGTCATTATCATTGTATTAAGAAACGTCTATTCTCTTTGATTTCTTTAAAAAAATACAAATACAGATAACAAAATCATATAACTTACGTCCACATTCAGTCCCCTTATTGACTTGCAATTTTTAAAAAGAAACAGGGACGTTTTGCTCGGAACCATTTCTACGTAGCTAACAGTCAAAGGATTGATAGCGATCATGATCCGAAATAGGAGCTTAGATCTGATATTAATTTCACTGTAAACCTGGACATCGGGTTTCCGCGAAAGCAACCGACGGCTTCAATTTTCAGCTAAATTCGTTTTATGAAATTGATTGGGCCTACTAATGATTAAGTATACTGTTACTTAGCAAAAGAGAAATGACTATGTGCACATTATTTTTGTAGCTTTGGCTCATGTATTTCATCCCCTCTTTCCAAATGTTTAGCATGCTCTGAATTGGATTTTTGTACTTTGGGATTCTACTTTATGATTGTAATACTAACGGCATGAAGCTTTGGAATCACGAAATTTTGTTTTCAGGTTAGTTCAAAAATAATAAATAAGAATGAAAAAGATAATAAAAGTCTCGTTTAAAACACGTTACTCACTGATTTGTAAGATACTTCTAATAACTTCTGCTAATTTTTTATAAACGTTAAGTTGGACTCGTCCATTAAATCTGTAAATTGTAATTATTCTTTCTGGATTCCATATTTTTTAAAGGGTGAAGAGAGTGAATGGAATTGTAATAAATCTTACGTATGTTTTTAATCAAGTTTAAGTTTTTAGGTTTAGAATTTTTAAAATTCAAACAATTTGTCCCGGGTAAGCACTACTTGAATCGAATTCATTTTATTTACAAACCATAACATGCTTAAAAGATGGGGAAAAACAGAAGAACAGTAAATTACACTTTTTCTACCATCAACATCATACAGATATAACCTGATTCATGATGTCCAATTTAAGGAAATCATTCTCATAAAATTATGATTGAACTTAAGACTATTGAAGCATCATAAATACGAATGTTTTTGTGGGCCCCGTAAATAAGTTTCTTGAGGGCCCTTGAAGTTGAAGTAATTCATATGCAAAGGCCCTGAGACATGATTCTAGGTATCATGAAGCTCTCAAATCCGCAAGACCACTATTTCAGTTGATTCATAGACTGCGGGCGAGTTTTTCTAAATTGAAAATAATTAAAATCGACTCAAAGCGAGCCTGTTCGGAGATCTTGAAACCCAACTTTCTCTGTTACTCGAGAGGAACTACTTTCCCCGCGTAGAGAAAATTTTCCGACCGGGTTGCTGTTTCTTCGAAAAAATTCAAGAGGTTCCTGCTTCTTTAGATTACTATGCACACAATATTTTTACTGCCCTGATCTAAATTGACGGTAGGGGGCTGGGGCGAGGAAGAACTCATAGCCGAAGGTGGACTTTTTTCTCGCGAAACGTGAACCGCCTTCAATTTAGAGAATATGCAGCCTGCAAATGTGCGTGCACCTTGCATCCGTCAGCAGCCCATAGGTCCCTGAGCGCTGATTCAACCCTGGCTAATGATGATCATAATGAAAGGCTCGAAAACATATAGAAAAAAGGAGAAGAAAATCGTCCAACACAATCCCCATTTTTGTACCTCTGCTGAACAATGTGATCTGATATCCATAGAAGAGTTCCAATTTCTCATCGAGTGTTGATGTCGCAAACTGCCGTGCTAAGGAACAACGCCGTATGAAAATTCGAATGTAGCAAAATATTCCTCGGTAAAATATTCATTCATGAGGAAATCCGTGGGGGTTTCTCCTAAAAATTGTCAGGTACTCAAGATTTAATTGCTAACAAAACTTAACGAAAAATTGGAAGAAAGAAATTTATGAGTTTCCCTGAAAATTCGTATATTATTGACAATAACTTGGCAGCGTCTGGAGGTTCATATGATGTTCTTCCCTCTAGCATTGAGGAGACTCGAGTTTGACACAGCACGGCGCGTTTCGGGAGCTTAATATTTCCATTAATTATCAGGTATTTTCCTGCGAGGGCAAAGGATCGAATTAAGACGGGCGGAAAAAAGGGCGTTTTTGCTTGCTTAGGTAGCGCGTCACATAAATAATTATTCTCGTGAATAGCGCTAGGTGTCGCTAAAAAGGTGTCAGAACAAACACAAAAGAGCCTGGCATTTTCATTCATTTACAGCACTTACCTCGGCGCCCGGATCTTCTGTCTTGACTTATCTCTTAGTATCCATGTAATCCTAATAACTTCTTCCAATAATAAATCAATTCCTCCGTTGGTACTTCACTGCCCGCTTTCCCGCATCCTCCTCCGCCATTTCTTTGCGGTTTCTTAATCATCACTTTAGCTGAGTCGTGAAAACGATTGAAGTGGAGTAAATTACGTTTAATCTACATTGAAAATGAACGGAGTCGATATGCCATTTATAAAAAAAAATAAAGAAAAAAGAAAAAAAAACTTGTATAAAGCATGAAAAACGGATTGCAATGAGTTGATAAACTTATAACTGTACTTCTAAACTAATAATCTCAACAAACCCCGCGCTAAGACAAAAAATTCACCGTTTAAGTTGACTATTATCAAGCTCAGAGTTTAAGCTCAGATTTTTTTTTTTTTTTTTTTTTTTTTTTTTTTTGTGCGCTGTGTCACCAAGGATAGTATTCAATACTTGCAAACACTGTGGTTTCGCTTAGATGGTTCTCGAATATTTGAAAAATCTTCCCAAACATCCATCGATGAGTCCAAAATATACCACCGGCCAATCGGCAGCGCTGAGCCGGACGCTATTGCATTTCGAGACTCAACCTAAGTATATTCAAGTGCGGTGGAAGGACCGACAAAAGAGCCATGCACAAAAAGGGCCAAAAACGGCCCATTTTTGGGCCCTCGAAATTGGGGTCGAAGTGAGGTTTTTATTCATCCTTAGGGTGACCCTTTACACATACTAAAATTTCAGATTGAGTATACGCACCGTTTTCGAGTTATGGGGGGGGCAAAGTCCCCGATTTTCACCCATTTTTGCAGGTGTTTTAATGTCGAACTCCGGCTGTTACGANCATGGCTCTTTTTACTTGAATTAGATTTTTTTCCCTAATGATTATTTTTACATTAATATACAAGGGCCTCCATTACTAAACAGCATACATATATTCATATCAACGTCGCTGAGATTGCGCAATCCTTTGCACTAGTCTAATTGCTCGTGTTTCATACTTGCCTCCGCCAATATATCAGGAATAATACAAGTAAAATGTGAGTTGTTTTGCAGAAAAGAGGGTGCATTACGTTATAAGCTAAATTGTTAAGAGAATGCATATTGCCAATTTGTTGATATGGATGTAAGTTGTTTGGTCGGAAAAGTTCGACGCACGTGATACGTGTTTGTTCCGAGAACTGCGAAAACTATGATGTGTCAACATGAGATCCTACTACGCTGATAGATAACCGCGTGTCTACATAAATATGATGAAAATGTAAAAAAGCATATTTCGTACGCGGTGTTTACACAGCTCCGCTTTCATTTTATTTTTTCAAAGGAGAGCATGCCAACATCATCGCTTGAAATTGACAAAGAGTATGTTTCACTTATGAGCGCAGAAATCAGGGAG